GGGGTAATTTGACACTTTTTATTTTGTCTTTTTGCACACTCAGATTTGTAGAGATAGGCAACTATCTTTTAGGCATCACCAAAGTCTAAAACTATTAAATAATTGTTTGTGTACGCATAGAAAAGTGTCGTGTAGTGTTAATCGTCAGCTGTGGAACGATCGAGGGCTTATAAACGGTAAAAAACTTAGAACATATAGACTCTTTAAAGGCTCGCTTAACACTGAACCATATGTTCAACTTATAATGGACCGATCTTATCGAAGTACACTCGCCAAAATACGTACAGGAACTTTACCTCTTGAAATAGAGACCGGTAGATTTTCACGACCGACTGTCCCCTTGGAAGAAAGGATATGTAAAATGTGTGACTCTAAAGCAATCGAAGATGAAATCCACTTTCTAACTGAATGTAACTTTTATTCTGATCTAAGATATGATTTATGGAATTATATTGCCTCCTTGGAGCCCTCCTTCCCGACCTTTTCTCTACTGCAACAGACCTGTTATCTAATGAATACTACATGTATAAGTAAATCCCTAGCCTCCCTTGTCTACAGAATGTACAGGCGCCGTAAACTTTATATAAACTGTTAGCTTTTATTTTAGTTACTTTTTATCCCATCCATAATGTTATGCATTGTCCTATATATGCACGCAGGTGTGTAGGCGGGTGTGTTTATGTACGTTAGTACACAGTGCCTCTCATTTATATCATCTGTTGTATTTAATGTATGTTCATACTGTATTCAGTACGACACTTGTATTGTTGTATGTGTATATGTATATATGGACTGAGGTGTGAATGGATGGATATAGGTATGGTTGTATGTTTGTATGTATATATGGATCGATATGTGTATGGATGAATATAGGTATGGATGTATGGTTGTATGTGTGTTAGTATATTTGGATTAAGGTGTGTTTGAATGGATATAGATATGTATGGATGTATGGTTGTATATGTGTTAGTATATTTGGATTGAGGTGTGTTTGAATGGATATAGATATGTATGGATGTATGGTTGTATGTGTGTTAGTATATTTGGATTGAGGTGTGTTTGAATGGATATAGATATGTATGGATGTATGGTTGTATGTGTGTTAGTATATTTGGATTGAGGTGTGTTTGAATGGATATAGATATGTATGGATGTATGGTTGTATGGTTGTATATGTGTTAGTATATTTGGATTGAGGTGTGTTTGAACGGACATAGGTATGGATGGACCTGTGTATGTATAATACGGATTGATTTATGTTTGATGGATATAGGTATGTATGTAGGTTGGTATGTTAGTATGTATGCTGGTTAGACATGTAGGTTAGTATACTCGATTGATGAATTAAGTTGTGTGTATATGGACGCATATGTGTATAGATGTATGACATGTATGAGATTGCCGTGAGTGTTTTGTATGAGATTGCTGCGAGTGTTCTGAATGAGATTGTTGTGAGTGTTCTGTATGAAATTGTTGTGAGTGTTCTGAATGAGATTGCTGTGAGTGTTCTGTATGAGACTGCTGTGAGTGTCCTGTGTGAGATTGCTGTGAGCGTCCTGTATGCTTACCTGTTTGAATGCTTTGAGCGGGATTTTAATGCGGATGTGTGTGTTGGTGTATCGGTGTGGGTGTGGGTGTGGGTGTGGGTGTGGGTGTGGGTGTTGGTGTGGGTGTAGTAATATACAAAGTTGCAACTAATTTTTCCTCTCTTTTTTTATATATTTTAAATGTACCATTATGTAATTAGTGTCTCGTAGGCCAACTGGCCGGGTGCTGTTTTTTTAATGAAATGTTTATATGTCCATATATTTAGTACTGCAGCATGTGACACTTTAGTAAAACAATTTTCTTCTTTTTTTTCTTTTTCTTTCTTCTTCTCAAGCAGTTCAGGAACGTTAAGGAGTAACAAAGGCACTTCTTATGTCCGATCCGGATTTATTGCTTATGTCACAGAGGGCGGTTTTGTGTCCAATGTTCTCATCACAAAGCCACAAACATCAAACTTAATATTCATATAGGTTATAATGAACAGATATAACTAAAAGCTAAAAGTTCGTAGTGTTAAATTCGTAAGAAGTCAGAGCCGCCAATACACGATTTACGGTACGTAATGTCAGAGAGTGTGTAAATATCATGTTTCACAACAACAGCACGACGGCCCTCCGTGCTGTCTCAGTAAATTGTCGCATATGTAGCCGGCTTACCCATTAGGGAGGAGCAACATATGAGATAAAACTACATAAATAAAGCTGTTTTTAACTTCGTGAAATCAGACACCAATCCCATACAGCCCTGTTGAATTTCAATTTCATTATAATGCATTTGGGAGTAAATTTGAGATACGTTTTGACAAATTAACCTCACATGAGTTGAATTTATATTAATATGTATTCATCAGTGACTGAATGGCGTTACGATCACTGAAACAAAAAAAAGGAGGTTTAACTCTAATCAGTGAAGCTCTGTTAATCCCGGGTTAATCCTGTTAATATGTGTGTGCGTCCGTGCGTGCATGTGTGTGTGTCCGTCTTTGTGTCTGCATGTGTGTGCGTATCTGTGCGTGTGTGTCTGCCTGCATGTGTCTGTCTGCATATATGTGTGTATGTGCGTGTGTATCTGTCTGTGTCAGCATGTGTGTGTCTGTGTGTGCATCTCTGTCTGCATAAAGTGTGTGTGAGTGTGTATCTGTCTCAGCATGTGTGCGCGCGCGCGTGTGTGTATGTGCATGGTTGCGCGCGCGCGCGAGCGTATGTTGTTAACGCCGTACTAAGCAATATTCCAGCTACATGACGGTGTCCTACAAATAATCAAGTCTGGACTTTCGGGGAAGGTTGACCACACATCTACCAAGTCACCTGACCACCCGATCCATGAAGTCGCGCGTGATCGTGGTCGTCGCCGACTACACACGTTCGGATTGTGGGGTTTCCAGTCTAACACGATCGGTATAACTGGGCTACACTGTGCGCTTGTAATCAACAAAAGAACTAGATTATATATACGTTAATAAAAATGTTTACCGCATCCCAGAACGTTAGAAACTTGAACTTTCCGCCATAGAGATTAGCGCTGACTGTGATATACGTGTAGTCATACCATGTCCCGTAGAAGTAGGTTAAAAACAGCCCGACAAAGACACACATCCGTAAGGCATCCATTGTCGACGAGGTCAACGTTCACAGTTCACAGTGCACTCGGTGTCTGGAGTGTTGTGGTAGATTAGTAGAAAGTCGAATTTGAAATCAGGCTTGTGATGCAAGAATACAGTGCGGACAAGTAGATGTTATCTGCAACACTGATAACTTTTCATCCCGTGACCTGTCAATGGCCTCAAGATTATGGTAATCGTAGAGGGTAAAGGGTCACACGTGTCTCTTTCGGGAGGCTAAACATAGATTGAGGCGCCCGACATATTACGTGTACAAGGATGCATATATGAGCAAAGACGTATATATACATATATTCGTCTTTAGTATGATTGGTTTGTTGTTTAACGCCGCACTCAGCAATATTCCAGCTATAGGACGGCGTATGGGGGGTGGTTATATACAATATAGATATCCAATCTCGGGTTGCTATCGAGATGTGTCACTCATTTTGGATACGTTCTGTTTGCATCAGTATGACGTCACATTGCTCCAGATGATCACGTGTCAGAATCTCATGGTCGCGGGTTCAAATCCCAGATTCGCCCTGTTCTGCAGCAGCGTGACGTCACATTGCTCTAGATGATCACGTGTCAGAATCTCATATCTCGTAATCAGAGTTGCCATCATTTTGACGTATAGCCGTCTATACATCACTATACATGAGTCGAAAACCTGCATGACTTTTCACACGTTAAGGAGACTGCCAATCCGGTTCTGGTATGCAGGATTCCGGGGTCTATTTAGAAGGTACTGTAAACTACGGTTATAACAAACTCAAAGGGACTACTTATTTTAGTTCGTTATAACCGTAGTTCGTTATAAGCATATATACAACACAACTACAGCAAATAATCCGGACCAAAAAAGTAAGTTCGTTATATCTGATAAGCGTCAACTTCAGAATACAGTACTGTTGACAATTTGTTTGGTGTTGGCAAATCAACAGATATAGTAATTAGATCCTCCTCTGTATTTGGCATAAACGTTCACATTACAACATTACATACAGTGAAAAGTTACTTTTACATTTGCACCTGCTCCAGACATGATGCAAATTTGCTCCTGGTGTAAAATACACACACGAGTAAACGCGTTTATATGACATGTATTCTCACACGTGTATTTTTACACACGTATGCAAATATACACACATATGTACAGATGTGCATGTGAACGGAGTATAAGAGAGAGAGAGAGAGAGAGAGAGAGAGAGAGAGAGAGAGAGAGAGAGAGAGAGAGACCCTCAATATGCTGACACGTGACCGTCATATAACTGAAACACTGCTGTTCAAGGGGGCATGGCACCGAACTCACTCGTATATTGTGCTTCATCTTACACCCCAACGTCATTGCAAAATTTGTTCATGCTATGAACTACTCGTTTACCGTTAACCTTACACACCTTGACATAATCCTTCATAAAACTACGCTCGCCTTGAGTATAAGTAGGCCATTGGCCCCGGCGTTTCATTGTGCTGAAATAACCTCGTACTTAGGAATGTATACACTTCCTGATAATGTTACATATTATAGACCGACGCCTGCAGACCGAAATCATCAGCAGTTTCCGACAAACACGAACCATATCATTCGTCCAATGTATAGGAATGGTGTCTCCGAATTAAAAACTGCACGTTTTCTACCTCTTCGCCTATAACTTCGATCATCGCTTGTCCAGGATATTAATAGATTAATATTTTATCGCTTATAGATTAATATACATGTATCATTACTGCATACAGTTGAGCGGAGCTTTATGACACTATGCATACCAGCTGTTGCCGAACACTGCACATTGAAGTAAATCTGCCAATTCACTGTTGAATATACGCTGTATGTATTATTCGTTGTAGCTGGCTTGTCAGAGGTCGCAGTGGTCTGTTGTTATCACAGAGGTGATACTGTAGCGGTATCGATGTTGTATTGTCCGCTGACCTAACAACAGATTAACAGGACGACCATCTGGACAGGTGAGTCTTAAGTACCAATGCGTATTTTCGAAATTGTTGACATGTTTTGCTGTTTTTTACTGCTTGCCCCCAAGGAGGACATTCTGCTCTATACATGAGGTCAGTTTGAACACGGCTTCTCATTTTTGTTAAACAGGTACGTGGTTGGGTTAATGCTAGGTGATTTGATATAATTAAGATTACAGCAGATGGGTATACAATGTGATCGTCAACGGAATATTGGAAAACATTTTATTCAGTTTAAATTCGTTACTTGAGTGATAATTTTTGTTTTTTGTCTGTTTACCGATTCAACCGTCCTGAGTCAAATGACACCAAAAATGTAAAATATAATAGTTTGAATTTTGTTTTATTTGCGCAACCGTTCTTTCTTAAAAGATCACGCCGTGAATCGTTGCTCATTATATCAATCACTTGATTGTCTTCTCCCGATTCGATTATTTACAGTCCGCCCCCATATAGCTGGAACATTGCTTAGTCCGGTGGATTATGGGTTATATGTAACATTTGGTTTAATGCTGTAATTGTCCACTCACATGGGACAGACGTTTCACACTTGTAACGACAGTGAATTGAAAATGAATTTGAGATATCTCAGTGGTCTATGGTCACCCAATTCAAATTCAGTTTGGGAACTGTATCACTTCGTGATATCTGCAAAAAGCTATTTAATATTGAACTGCGATTGTGATTCTACATATTGCACATCAAATGTGTAAGATCCGTACGTTCAAAACATTACGTGTTTTCAGATATGCGGGTGTTACTCGTGTATTATTGGTTTTTCCTCAATGCAAGTGGTGAGTGAGTATGGTTTTACGCCGCATTTAGCAGCTGGTGACACCAGTACTTATATGGGGAATCGAACGCGGGCCCTCGTTGTGACGAGCGAACGATCGAACCACTGGGCTACCCTACCGCCCCTTAAATGGACAACCTACTCAAGACACACTTGACCAATGTCGCTTTGCTCATTATCTTCCCTTACAAGAAAGAGTTTACGTCTGATGTTGTCATGGTAGAATGGAAATGAACGTACTGTGTTTCCAATGTTAACTTAGATTTGACGCAGCTAAATCTACAGGAAACCGGTTCCCCCCGTGTGAGTGCCTACGCCAGGCTTAATTAAAAAAACGGAAGTGTCAGCTTCCAAATGCGAAAGGTAGGTATTTTCATCAATGAATGGCGTGACATATCACGGTAGAACTGCCCCTAGACAAAATTGAGTCAAGATATTTTATGCTGTTAATGTGTCGGCATCCCATGATACTTTTATTATATCAAGTTTCAACTTACATTGTGACACTAACAAGCTCAAAATGATCAAACAGTGAAAACTACACAATGTTCCCTTTTGATCACATATATCTCGAAAAACCTTACAGAATTGTTTTGACAGATATATTTTTCTCTTCCTTATTCGATTGACAAAAAGCTTGCTAAATATGACGTGATTACAGGCAGCAGTAAAGGCGAATGGAATTTATGGAGTGCACTGAAGAAATTTAAATGTCAGCCTACAAGAAAAGGCACCTCAAGAGTTTTTTGTTTGTTTGTTGTTTAACGCCGCACTCAGCAATATTCCAGCTATACGACGGCGGTCTGTAAATGATCGAGTCTGGGCCAGACAACACAGTGATTCACATCATATGCACCGATCTACGCAATTGGGATGCGATGACATGCATCAACCTAGTCAGCGACTCTCACCACCCGATCCCGTTAGTCGCCTCTTACGACAAGCATAGTCGCCTTTTACGACAAGTATGGACCAGTTCTAATCCTGATCTTCACGGGTCACCTCAAGAGTGGTGTACTCGTTATTTGCGGCATATATGGTTTGATATCGAAGTGTATTACATTCAAAAGGACTGTATGAAAATAGGGTAGGTACCTTGCAGCAACGAAAGTGAGATTTAATAAGGTAGCCGTTTGTGTCCAGTTCGTTACCATAGACAGGCCACTGGGTCTTTAACTGTATTACATCGCCATTTTTGTGCAATGTCTAGTCAAATATACAGCAATGTAGTTAATAATTGCACTTATATAGTGACGTGCATGCTCGTGTGTTTGTGACTGCTTGTACCAATCCTGTCCAACCTAGGTTTATGTATGTATGTATGAATGAATGAATGAATGAATGAATGAATGAATGAATTGTAGAGGTAGAGGTGTAGAGGTAGAGCGTCCGCCCGGAGAGCGGAAGGTCCGTGGTTTGAACCCGGCCGCGTCATACCAAAAGAGACCCATGAAGATTCGGGGTATAGGCCGTAAAGGGTGACTATGCTTGTCGTAACAGGTGACTAACGGGGTCGGCTGGTCAGGTTCGCTGACTTGGTTGATGCATGTCATCGTATGCCAATTACGTGGATCGATGCTCATGATATCAATCACTGAATTTTCTGGTCCAGACTCGATTATTTACAGACAGCCGTCCTATAGTGGGTATATTGCTGAGTGTGGCGTTATACAACAATGAAACAAACAAATAAATCATACCAAAAGACGTTAAAAGATGGTACTTGTTGTTACCCTGTCAAGCGCTCGCCATTCATGGACTAAAACAAGGACTGGTCGGCTCGGAGTCAGTACACTGTGTCAGAGTGGGGTATTCATGTTAAACTGCGGCATGATATCTCAGTGGGCTAGCACTATAAATCGGCATCAGTCCAGACTAGTACAAGCAGCCACACAGAGACATGTGCATCCATGTCGCTATATATAAGTGCAATAATCTATGACGCGACGTTAAACCCCATCTCACCTCAAATCATACTGAACACACTTTTAAGTTGATATCTTCAAATAGTGTATACTGTACAAGAGAGAAGTACATGCATGAGGGAGCTTCGTACTCAATAACATCTGCACGATTAAAACACCGTCAACTTTCTGAAGAATGTTTTCATAACGTCCGGTCATAATTTTCAACGGTGCAACTCCACATCTAAATATAACGTAGGCAATTCTGTGCACTTCACTTCTATACACATGTACATGTTTAAAGACTTGAACATGCGGCGAATATTTCTTCCCGTCTCACTTGAACTATGTTCCGATTGTAACTTCTTTTCCCAGTTTGCCTTGCGTCTGTTAAACACTGCTGCCTTTATCTGCTTAACGAACAGTCTCTTTCTGAAATTGATGTTGAAGATCCAGTTATACTGACTCTGATCCGACCAGTCCTTGTTTTGTTTACTTGTGATTTGTTTGATTGTTGTTTAACGCCGCACTCAGCAGTGTTCCAGCTTTATGACGGCGGTCTGTAAAATAATCGAATCTGGACCAGACAATCCAGTGATTGACATCATGAGCATCGATCCACGCAATCGGGATTGATGACATGTATCAACCAAGTCAGCGAGCCTGACCACCCGATCCCGTTAGTCGCCTTTTACGACAAGCATATAGTCGCCTTTTACGGCAAGTATGGGTTGCTGAAGACCTATTCTATCCCGGAATCTTCACGGGTCCGTTTACTTGTGAAGATCCGGGTTAGGATTAGAGGCGAATAACGGGATCGGGTGGTCAGACTTGCTGACTTGATTGATGCATATCGCGTAACCCTATTACATCGATTATTGATTATTATTTACAGGCCAGCTGTCATATAGCTGGAATATTAACAAACAAACAAACAAACAAACCTTGTTTAATTTGCTTAATGATTTGTGCCAGGCAGGTTAAAATGTATAGTTTGATTATCTATGAGTTAGAAATGAGCAATTAATAAAAATAGACTACATTGATTGACAGAAATATATCAACTATCACTGTTGACATACATGAACGCACAATCGTTGATATAATATCTATTGACATAACAGTGTTACAATATCATATCACACCACACTAGAGCGTATCTAGCAAAACAAGGACTGACGGTAGAAACCCCAACGACGCTTAGAATATTAAGCAAGTATCATTTTGGGATAAAGCAGCGCTTGTAATGAGAGATCGATGTCAACCTTTAATGACACCCGCCTGGATATGGCTTGGGGGAACATGATTCGATGGCGTAAAATGCTGAACACAAAAAGAAGACTCGGTTACCTAATAGCACTGACATGGTAAATCACTTCAGTGTCAGTGAACTTTACTGACCTAGTTTTTGATATCAGTGCGTTGCGTGTGTCACTTATCACAGCGACAATTCTATTTAACGTATTACTCGATGCTTCGAAGTAAAAAAGTAGGGTTCAACTCCGCTTTGTCGGAACAGAATTTCAGTTCTATCTCGGCGTGTCAGATTAACATATATACAATATACCACACACAGACACAGACACAGACACACACACACACACGCACGCACGCACGCACACGCACACACAGAGCCACACATGCGCGCGCACACACAGACACACTCGCGCACACGTGCACACACACATCGTTTGCATTGGAGATTATACACTTTGCGTTTGATCTGTTATTATTCAAAAGGTGGATCACATTGGTTCATGTGGTCTAAAAGCTTCGCATATGGCTATGCAGACATCCATCCACCAAGAAACCACAGGTCGCCTGACTGTGGTAATTTGTCAGCGCCATTTTACTGCTCGTGTTGGTAAACACCTCCCATGTCATGATGTTTCCTTAAACAGTTTTATATCTGATACACGTTGATATCACTGAACTACTGTTCCGCTGTGCAGAGTTGCGTCCCATGGGCACGCCAGAAACCTATGATTGTGGGTTCGAATCCCGGTTCGCCCCGATTATGTTTCTAGGTTTGTTAGCACCATACCCGTGCTCGTGGGTTTCACCGAAGTGGTAAACGTCTGAGACCTGCATCACTTCGTGCTTTCCTCCCACATTAAGCTGACACGCCGTGATATGACTGGAATACTGTTAAAAGCGGCGTTAAACCCAACTCACTCACTCACTACTGTTCAAAGTGGTGATAAATCCAATCCACAGTCCACAGTGAGTGAGTGAGTGAGTATGGTTTTAGGCATCTTTTAGCAATAAGCCATCGATATCACGACGGGGGACACCGGAAAACGGGCTTCACACATTGTACCCATGTGGGCCATATAGTGATATAAGTGACAAGTAAACATTCTTTGACATTTTAGAGCTTATCTTGCACCAAATTTATTTGATGCCATTAGGAAATACAGTGTATCATCCACACATCTCTTAAGTGAGATCAAGGAGGTATCGCTACAATGAAACTGCATCACAATGCTTTTCAAACCATTGTGACGTCATCGGTTACAATGACGTCAGAATCCAATGACATCCCTATACCTCTACCACTGAAGCTACAGTTCGTCTTACCCTCAAGACAAACTTAAAGGGGAAGTGTACACGCAAAAATCACTTTCTTTCTTATTTTAAAGAAAACGGAATTTTAGAATTAGTTAGTATCTGTGTTTGAAAATATACACTCATTTTTTTCACAGTGAAAGTAGGAAGCTCACAATCGTGTGAAAATGATATGCCGTTATGAGGCCTTCGTTTTTCGAGCTAAACAGGCCTGAGTTATCCCCCTTAGATTATGACGTAATTGGTGCCAATTCAACTGGGTCCCTGTCTATTCTCAACGCAAAAGATATCAAGTACCAGTTTGCGGTTAAACAACATGGCCTACGACACACTCCGGCGCAGTGGTGACTCAGCATAACACTATGCTGGCTGGCATCTGAGACGCTAGAATCACACACCTAGACCTACACCACGTGAAGCGGCTCCAACAAAGCATGATGACGTCATAATGTTTATCAATTAGCACCAATGACGTCATATTGCAAGGGGCATAAGCCATGGTGTTTTTGTTGTGGAAATAGAACACTTGGTAAATGTGAAAAATATAAATCGTTTTAATGCGAAAAATATGTTAATTAATTGTGATATTTTTATATTTTTGTCTATGACACTTCTAGGTTAACACTTTTAATGTGGAAAAAGTACAAGAAAAATAGGTTCATTTCCGTGTGAACTTGCCCTTTAAGTGTCAGAATGGTTAATTTCCCGAACGAGATTTAAAAAACAATTTAACTACTTTACGTCAAAACAGAAGACTACACACACAGAAGACATATACATTGTGTTAACATTTAATCTATTTCTTACCCATACTTTATGATTGGCTGTTATGTCTTCGTAAGTCTAAGATCGCTTTGTGCAAGTGGACCTATGATGCTTATGTATAGCGTGTATGCTTGCCATAAATGACGAAAACCAATTTTCCTAGATGACGTCTAAAGATGCCAGAGTATACACAAGCACAAAGAAAACGGGGCATAACTCCGCCATGCTTAGCACTGAGCCACGCTGACTCGGCTCGTTTGGTGAGAATTTACAGTGACACAAATATCGATACTGAAACCGTGTATGCGTTTAGGTACGTCATCACAAATCATAAATAATTGTGATATTGTACTACATGAAAAAAGAAGTAACAGCAAAATGGGTGACCCCATATAAAATGTAAATATGTCCTTTGATTCAAGCATTCGCCTGTGTAAGTGTATTTTGACTCATGTTGCAGCATTATTATTACATAATGCAATGAACTACTAAAGAATTGACAGTTTTTGTTTGACGTCATAGCTAGTTTTGTGTCTTTGAACGTCGGAGAAAGACGGCATTGCTGTATTGATTAATATTTATCTGACCTAATTTTCGTTCAAAGTTAAAAAAAACCCAACTCAATTTTAATTTGAAAGTTTTACGACACAACATTACTGTTTTGCCTTGTTGATAATGTCTTTGAAATGACGGAAGATGATTTCGTTTATATTAATTTGACAAGACGTGCACCTGTTAGACATCAATATTACATAACTCAAATACTCAAAAAGTAGTTGAAACAAACAAATATATTTTTTAATGTTGGACCTGTATTTGTTTCATCGGCATGTGGTTATTCTCTTCATTTTGTCTCAGTATCATATATTTTTTTCAAGAATAAAAGATACGAAGAACGCCCTTATTAATATGGAAATATCAGGACACGTCGTGTAAGACTCGCCCAACAGACTGGTATATTTTACAGTTTTATATACATAAAGTAAACAGATAAATATCCTTTGAATTCAGTATTTAAGAGAATGGGGGTAGGTGATCGAATTACACAACACGCGGAGTGACTCGTAAATCTAATGTGATTAAACACGCACCTGGCATCATTGTACTGTCAATCAAACGACAAAAAACAACATTTGTTACTTCTGACAATGTGTGCATATAATTACTGCAGACTCTGAGTAACCCGACACTGCTCGGGACAGGGGTAAACTGTCGGGTTAGACAGATGTCGGATATCACAATTTCAAGGCAGAATGCACCAGCAGTTAATTAAACTTGTAAATGTATATGCTGTATTCACACTCAAAAGGTATACGTACATCCTGCAGTTTAATCTTTTACGTTTCATCATCTGAAGGTAGGATATATAGCATGTGACACGACACTTGTCTATTTCTTACGTAAACAATGAACGACACGACATTTGTCAATTTCTTATTAAAACAACGTTCAAACAAAACATTACATAATCCAAGTGTCAAGTATTTTGTGGCTTATAATATTGGACAGTAATGCATATAGTGTGATTTAATACATTAAAAAATATATAATACATACGCAAGTTCTTTCTCATGATTAAAACTGTAAACATGCAGTAGGAGAGAAAAATATTTTTTTGTACTTCACTCGACCTTCACCTTAAAGAAAATACAAAATATATACAACAATGCTGACGTATGACATCACTGCCGGTGACCCCTTTCGCAAAGCATCCATCATATCCACTGGTATTATCTTCAAATTCTTGCTACCTTGACTGTACATAAAAAAGAAGAAGAAATTGTCAACAACCAAAATACGTAAAGTTTCGTAAAGCAAAATATTTTGGCTCATAATTTAAATTAAATATATCTTTGGTTTTGCACATTTGGCTGAAAAATAATCACTAATGTGATATTTTTGTAATTGTATTCTCCGAGGAAATAATCCAATATTATTATGTGATTTCAAAACATACACGAAATACCACCCTGAGTGGTGATTTAGTCAAAAGTAACAACTAGCCATACTTACACTGTACCTAATTTCGAGTAATGTTGCTTTGCCTTTAATGACTGCGGATGACATCTCAGAACAGATAATCTTCAGCATAATTCAAAACTATGAAACTATGTGCGTGATTGCGAAAACTGGAAAAAACTCACAGACAAACATGACGTCGAAATGATAATTGTGACGTCATTACATTATGACGTCATTGTACATTACCACCGTAGTACTGCCATAACGTCAACAATGTACAGTGGGGGAGTTAGGAGATAAAATTAATATACCGTGATTTCAATGTAGAGCAAGGTTCCCTGTAGATTTAACACATTTAGCACCATTTTTATCCATTCTGCCATGAAAATATAAAACGGAACAAATATGACGTCACAGTCGTACATAGAAAAGCTAGAGAGACCCATGTACACTTGATCCTGTTCAATTTGCTTCCTGCCTTATTGACTTCCTCATCATGTGTTTTTTGTCCATCATGTTGTTACAGTTTTACCCTTCTGATGTCATTGTTTAACCTACTCACGTTAATCTCTCTGATTTATGCAATTGTTGTTACTGTTAATCCCCCACCTACGATATATGTTCTTTACCATGCTCATTATTCATCAAGATGGACAGCTACTTGAACGTATATAAACGGAGCAGCCAAAGATAAAAATGAAATTTATCAATATACAAAATAGAAATCATATATCAATACAAAAACAGAAATTCTATGAATACCAAAACTCGCAATAGATATGTCTACCCTACTCACACGCATACGTCCCAAAGAGGGACAGGTCAGCTGAAATTGCTAAAGCAGAAGGCGACCTCTTAAACACTTAATTATTAAAGCAACAACAACAACAACAACAACAACAACAACAACAACAACAACATCATTATTCAGCCTTGCTTGACAACGGTATACGGATCTATACCGAAACGTCTCCTTTACAGTAAATAAGGAAGTTGTCATCCTTAAATTATGACGATTTGATAATTTTGTTTTGATACTTTTTACTTTTTGTCTCTCTGCAATACAGTGTGTATAGACATACCAGTTATTGTAATATTACAACGTGGAAAGTAGAAAGTTAATTTTCAAGTGTTTCGCTCTTTTTGTAGTTCATATTTTGTTTATGCATTTAATTGTGTAATGTTACTTATAGATGTTTCCTTGTTTGTCTCCGTTGACAACGGTTTATTTTTAACATAAATTAGCTCTCTTCATTCCCGACACGACCATAGACAAATAGGATAATTATGTTACCGCGATAATTTCCTTGTAAGCATTCTTTACTTGAGCTTTTCACCTCCTTTGTTTGCAGAATTAACTGTTATTAGTGGGCTCGGAACATTTCCGTGGGCGGCTACAAGGATTGAATTGAAAACAAGTAATTCACATTCATGTGGTCCGTCATTAATCACCTAATGCACTATTTGTTGTATTGCAGTGTTGAGTGTGCAGCATCTGTAATTCCACACAGGAGACGGATCCTTTGTTAGGGGGTCCAAAGTTACACGACACCGGTGAAATCAGCAGTAGCAGTCGACCAAGATTGTTCCATACCTTCTGTGATATAACCTACGATGGTTCATCCAACATATGCAGGATGTTGGCTGACAGAACCAATCGGAAATTTAGTCGGACTACCAGTCGACCAGGTTTGTAAAATATATCCATTTTTACCTCTAAAGCAAGAAATAATGAGACAAACGGACCCCAAAACGGGCAAATTTTCTTTGCGAATTGATCATCTTGTTCTTTCCATCAGCTGTTCTGCGATTGTCCTTCGGTTTTTTCTTCAGCAGCAAACATATAATTTATTTCATGAAGAACGATATAGTTATTTCATAAATTCATATATCCCTGTTGGAGTAATTGTTCAGAAATCAATACACAAGTGCGCCCAAACATGTCTATCATCTGTCAAGACAAGGCAGACCCGATCCTATTGTTTGCAAAAAATGTTTTGTTTCATTGCATAACCCACTGGGCCTAAATATCAGAGTTAACAAGGTCAAAACGTATACAGGATATACTGTCAGAGTAAAGCTAGGTGCTGAAATGGTTTGAACGTCTAATATCCGCGAGAATGGAGGTCACTGAGTCAAATCAAAACAAATATTAGGCAGCTCATGCATGACGAACTGACCACTATAAACTGACATTTTACTACCTCCAAGTCGTTGATTGGGTTAAGTGATTTTACATGTTGTAAATCTGTTTAATATATTACATGACTGTTTGATGCTTCCTGTAATATATTATTTATGTAAAATTTAGATTTGGGGGAAACTGATGGTGCTGACAATGTCCTGTAACAAGATAAAGAAGATAGGCAAAACTATATGAATCAGTAATATTGATATTGGTTATATTGTGGTCATATTCAATTTTATTATTTTTTATTATATGAATTTAAGTTTTAATTATGCATCCATATGTCTGTTTATATGGATAAGGCAGTGTGCATACATACAAAGCGTAAATAATTACCATACTGTATGATCTGTCAGTATCAACAAGGTCACAGGCAGGTGCGTATTTATATACTGTATTCTATGTAATAAGCACCCCACTCTAAAAAGTGTCCATGGCGATATTTGCTATTATTATGCCTTAAAGTGAGATTGACCAATCAGAGAGCAGAACTACTGACCCCACATGAGCCTGTATACTGTCAATAAAAATCCAAGATGGTTGTTACTGGCCTAATATGAGACTGTATACCATCAGTAACAGCCATTTTGAATTTTCCAACACCGACCTCAAATATTTCACCTGGAAATTCTGGTACAGAAATTCGTTATTCGACGTTGTTTTGTGTTTTAATATCATTAATTGCGATGAGCAAAGACATTATTTATGAAAGAAATCACGTTCATGACTTTATCTATAAAAATTATAGAGAAAAAAAGCTTACAATGAGGTCACTGAGTTACAAATAGCAACGTCATAGAACATACTATATAGAATGACGTCACAAACAAGAAATGTGACGCCAATGACGTCACATAGCAATAGAATAGATAGCAGCCTGTCGTTAGGGGAAAGCGGACTGCTATCAAGTTACAGTGGCCCGCATATTTCTTTTAACATGCAGGCATTTTTATGATAATTCTACCCATTTTAGCTATAGTATTTTAAACGTTCGCATTTAGTGCATTATATGATCCATTGTTAACATTTATGTTCACATTAGAGCGTTGTATCGGAAACATATGTACTGGTCCTGTCGTTTATACCGTGTCAAGTTTTCATTTTGACATGACATGTGCGACAAAGATACCAAATAGTGGAAACTTTTCGGCATAATGTATTAGTTATGGAGTCTTTAGTTGCGGTGTCATATTAGGTAAGCAGGAAAATATTGGGCGAGGCGTGAGCGTATTCGGCAACCATAGACACCATAACTAATAATATATTGGCTAGTGAACAATCCCAATTAGCACCCCTTCCGATTGATCAATGTACACAAGACTTATTTATTCGCGTATAATATACACTTGTGTGTTATATGCACCCTTGATTATGGGCAATTAAATTCTGGAAAAATATATCTGTTGTATATAAACATTTCAGGCTGTCAGCATAAACCACGAAATTTATCTTTCAACTCTGTTTTTTTCACCAAAATATTGTTCCAATAAGAGCCCCTTATTTCTAATTTTGAGAGCTCCCTGAGCACTTATTACATCGAATATGGTATGATATTTTTCAAGCAGGGGTTGGTGTGTGAGGGAGCACCTTTTTGGCTGCTTAAGTAGTGGAATTAATCCTGGGGCTTTAGAAATTGTTTCTAAGAATATAAAAGGGGTGTCTGTAGCATGTTTAGGCGTTTTGCATGTTTATTTTGTTTGTTGTTTAAAGCTGCACACAGCAATATTCCAGCTATATGATAACGGTCTGCAAATAATCGTGTCTGGACCAGACAACCGAGTGATTGACATCATGCGCATCGATCTGCGCAATTGGGATATGATGACATGCATCAACCAACTCAGCAAGTCTGAACACCCAATCCCGTTAGTCGCCTCTTACGACAGTCATGGGTTGCTGAAGACCAATTCTAACCAGGAATCTTCATGGGACCGTTTTGAACATAAACTGTGGCGGCTTCAGGGGATGGCTACAGTTTAGGGGTGTCCCACAACCCTATGTCTGTTATTGACTTATGATCAGTACTGATTTTGTGCAGGTTTAAACCATGAAAACAGTGCAATGTGTTCATAGTGCGTGTTTGCATTTTCAGATTGACAGTTATGATACAGTTCTGTTTTTCTTATATACACACGCTAACTAATAAAAAGAGTTATACAATGTTACAAAATATAAATCACCTTAATCATGTTTCTTCTTATTCAGATAACCTTAAATCCCTTAGAAAAAAGACCCAAACACTGTGGTTCCTGATAAGTACTGGTTTAACATGACACATGAAGATCCAGGTTAGAATTGGTCTTCAGCAACCCATGCTTGCCACTAAAAGGCAACTTATACTTGTTGTAAAAGGCAACTAACTGGATTTGGTGATCATCATATCCAGATTGCATAGATTGATGTTCATGATGTCAATCACCGGATCGTCTGTTCAAGATTTGATTATTTACAGACTGCCATCATATAGCTGAAATATGCTGAGTGCATCATTAAACAACAAACAAAATGAAAAAAATAACATGAATCTTGGTGCTTTAACTGCTGATGTCCATGACTGGTTATCAAAAGATTTTTAGTTACATTCCCCCATCGTTATTTTGACCGCCTCCATGGTCTAGTGGTAGAGCGTCCACCCGGAGAGCGGAAGGGCCAGGTTTCGATCCCGGCCGTGTCATACCAAAAGACGTTAAAAGATGGTACTTGTTGTTACCCTGTCTGGTGCTCGGCATTAAGGGGCTAAAACAATGACTGGTCTGCTCAGAGTCAGTATACTGTGTCTGAGTGGGGTATTCATGTTAAACTGTGGCATGGTATCTCAGTGGGCTAGCACTATTAATCAGCGTCAGTCCGGACTAGTACAAGCAGCCACACACACACACTCACGTGCATGCACGTCGCTCTATAAGTGCAACAATCTTGAACGCGACGTTAAACCCCATTTCACCTCACCTCACTTTCGTTATTGCAATTGTGCTAGTATGAAATAACACAATGCCTTATTGTGCTCTTCAACAGTGGTATAATCATGATAACATGTCCGTGTTTGATCACACCAGTGACCTGCTTTATGGGAGTAGTAACCACGACATATTTCATGTACAGGGAAGTTGTTGAAAGTTGACTGACTTATAGGTCATTAGTCAGTACAGCATGGTAGTTAATGATGTATTTTAGCATGGGAAAGCCTTGTCCTTTGATTTATGGTGCCTCAACCAGTGTTTCGAATCACACATGAATTTCGAGTGATCCTTGTCATAACACTGATGTTAAGATTAAACACTTCTTGTAAAGTACAACCTCATCAAGTATAAACACTTAAGATTTATGGGTTCATAGATTCAAATATAACAGTAAAATCTCAACAAAATGTAAACACTTTAGATATAAGGGTTCATAAGATTCAAATATAACAGTAAAATCTCAACAAAATGTAATCACTTTAGATTTAAGGGTTCATAGATTCAAATATAACAGTAAAATCTCAACAAAATGTAATCACTTTAGATTTGAGGGTTCATAGATTCAAATATAACAGTAAAATCTCAACAAAATGTAATCACTTTAGATTTGAGGGTTCATAGATTCAAATATAACAGTAAAATCTCAACAAAATGTAATCACTTTAGATTTAAGGGTTCATAGATTCAAATACTACAGACAAACCTCAACAGATATATAGAGGTTATCACGTGAGTGTGAAAGTAGAAAGATTTTATTTTAGGAATAAACAAGGTATTTAGGGAGCCTTGGCGAGCAAAATACATAATGTTTATTCCTAATACAGGATATTTACCTTCCCCAAACACACAAGCGTGATAACCTCTTTATCATATGTCATTCTTAAATTCTGTGCTTGAAAAATATCTTCCCATCTTATTACCTAAACATTGAAGGTTTCCAGGAATGTGTGCATTAATATATACTGAACCACAAAAGAAACATCACCTCAAGTAACATTGCATGAAAAGTTGTCATTTAAATATCTGGGTAATTTTTGTCAAAGTTTCTAAAATTTAGCATTAATCTGTCCGGAAAAGTGAAATTTGATGATAAAAAAACAAAGCAGACAACAATGAAACAGATTGCCCAAACGCATCACGGCAACGGCCATGGTAACCCGATGCATGTGAGTTCTGTGCAAATTGAAATGCACATGCGCTCCCCCATTTCTTGCCCTGTAAAAAGTCACCAAAGTGGTAAACGTCTAAGATTTGCACGACTTTGGGTTTTCCTAACCCATCAAGCTGAGACTCCATGATATAACTGGAATACTGTTCAATATGGTGTTTCACCAAACTCTCACAACCACTCTGTAGAACCGTGAATGGCATTTGGCCCTTCCAATCTAAACAGAGGATGGGTCCTTGAGCCAATCAGATGTCAGCTTTCTAAATATGACTTGGCTTCATTTCTTTACCAGGGCCAATCGGGTAACCTAGTGGTTAAAGCATTCGTTTGTCATGCCGAAGACCCGGGTTCGATTCCCGACATGGGTACAATGTGTGATGCCCATTTCAGGTGTCCCCTGCCGTGATATTGCTGGAATATTGTAAAGCGGCGTAAAACCATACTCACTCACTCACTCACTCACTAGAAAAGCCACACTGTGACACAGAATATTCATTTGATGGTACTCCCTTTTGATTGTCGATGCCATGACACTCAGGATGTATAAAATATCCACACCAATATAATTGCCACCATTTTTATCTTTTTTTGGAATATTTTACTTTGTTTTGGAGATACAGAAATCACCAAATTTACCACCTCGATTCAGACGTTTCTACCTTCGTAATGGTTTGGTCAGCACTTTACCAATGCTTGTCAATAACCTGCTTCTCTTTCCGCCATGCAGCAGATGTGCAGGAATATTATTGAAATCCTTTTCAAAGCATTGTTGAACCCAACTCATTCTCTGTCAGAATGCCTGAATATTTTTTTCTTAAAATAATTTGATCATAAAAAATCTTTAATCATGCTTTTGGTATTTCATGTAAATATTTATTTAATGTCACAGCTGTATTGAGCTGAAATGAATTTGAATAATGGAAATATATATATATACTCACCACCAAAAGAAATGCCAACCATGGAAACATATTAAGAAGTAAAAAGACAAAACTGACAATCAGTCAAGTGTGACCACAGAGTGACTTTATTCTTATCACGATATGCTGCACGTGATTTACAAACTTTACACGCTAATCCTGCATGAGATAGATGGTGCATCTTGAGTCATAGACGTGTGATGCGTTCATGAGCATCGGTTCACACAACATACCGGTATGTTAGTTTGTGTATCGAACGAATCTGATATATCTATGAGTAAGTCTTCCTGTATTAAGCAACATGTATGATATTCATGTTTCTTTTGGCGATGAGTACCATTCATAATGAGCCACACAGTGGTTAACAATAGCTATTGACTGATGGTGATGACAGCCAACCTTGACTAGCGTATCTAGTCATGCTAGTCTCTAGCCTGAAGCTTGAGTCAGTCAAATGTATGTCAGTCAAATGTATTCAGCGTTAGAAACTACCGTATTCGATGTAATAATCACCCCCCTCTAATAAGCGCCATCAGCGATATTTGCTAATATATTGGCTTGTGAACAATCCCATTTAGCACCCCTTCCGATTGATCAATGTACACAAGACTTATTTATTCGTGTATAATACGCACTCGTGTGTTAAATGCAACCTTAATTATGGGCAATTAAATTCTGGAAAAATATATCTGTCGTATATACACATTTCAGGCTGTCAGCATAAACCACAAATTTATCTTTCAACTCTGTTTTTTCACCAAAATAATATTCTAAAAAGAGCCCCCAATTTCTAATTTTGAGAGAGCCATGAACGCTTATTACGTCGAATACAGTAACTGTTTTTGTCCCCTAGTCCTTATAATGATAACATATAGAAAAATCCATAACAATGGCAAATTTCTACTAGTCCTTATGATACCTTAACTATTGGGCAGTTTGGCAAGGACTACAGGACTAGTGCCAATTTCTAACACTGGTATTATGGTCTAGCATGCATAGATTATAACAGTACATATGTTCAGATTAGAATCGGGGAAAAGTGATGCCAATGGACAAGTACCCAGGAAGCAGCCTATCAGTGGCACAGGGCTGTTATCCCTATGGAATGTATACATGGTATAGTATCAAATAAAAGTTTGATAACTTCCATTTTGTAGACCGTGATATGCATTGTTTTATAGTGTTCCTCTCCTGAGTCATTTTCATAATACAGTTGAATCTCTGTAAGTAGAAACTTGATAACTAAAAAACATAAATATGTTTTTGTGGTCCTGACTGAGTCTTTCTATTTGTGTCGTAACATATCATAAATGTCATAATAAGCCTGATCAATACCATATTCGACGTAATAAGCGCCTACAGTGATATTTGCTAATATATAGGCTTGTGAACAATCCCAATTAGCACCCTTTCCGATTGATCAATGTACACAAGACTTATTTATTCCCGTATAATACGCACTTGTGTGTTATATGCACCCTTAATTATGGGCAATTAAATTCTGGAAAAATATATCTGTCGTATATAAACATTTCAGGCTGTCAGCATAAACCACGAAATTTATCTTTCAACTGTTTTTTCACCAAAATAATATTCTAATAAGAGCCCCCTATTTCTAATTTTGAGAGCTCCCTGAGCGCTTATTACGTTGAATACAGTATTCAAATTTCAAAAAGCCCATGTGAGCATGGTGAGCTTATGTTGTTGCAAGTCATCCGTAAACCTTTTTCAAGGCTGAATGGATTCAGCTGAAATTTTGTGTGGATGTTTGTTGCTATAAGCATTAAAGGGGGTACAATTTTGTCATCAGAATTGCCATTTCAATATGGCAGCTATATTGAGAGTGAGTGGGTGAGTATGGTTTTACGCCGCTTTTAGCAATATTCCAGCAATATCACGGCGGGGGACACCAGAAATGGGCTTCACACATTGTACCCATGTTGGGAATCGAACCCGGGTCTTCGGCGTGACGAGCGAACGCTTTAACCACTAGGCTACCCGACCGCCCCAGCTATATTGAGAACTACAAAAAATCGTGCATCATTTGTATTAACGTTAAGCATCTTCTGAAGCATGGTGTCAAGTAAAGCTGCTCTATCATGCTGTTGTTGATATTTTATACATCCTGTCATTTCTGAGCGCTGTTGAATTGACACCCAAAAGGTTGTACTTTCGAGGGTATATTTGTATTCTGTTGTGGTTGCCTTTGCTAAGATGAAAATTTCTGAATGAAAGTGGAAGAGGAATGAGGCTGAATTGTTTCAGAGAGCTCACATCTGATTGGCTCCAGAACCCACACATCTTTTATTTTAATTAGGTTGTCAAAGTCTCTCAAGGCATCCTCAGATCTGAACATGTGTATCGTGTCGGAGTAAAAGATCTGATTTTTATGAGATTGATATGACACAACATTCTATAGAGGTGTCCTCGGATCCTAATACAGGCAGGTATCGTATCTGAGTAAAAGATCTGATTTTTATGAGATTAAAATGACACAACATTCTATAGAGGTGTCCACGGATCTTAACACAGACAGGTATTGTGTCGGAGTAAAAGATCTGATTTTTATGAACTTGATATAACACAACATTCTATAGAGGTGTCCTTGGATCTTAACACAGGCAGGTATTGTGTCGGAGTAAAAGATCAGATTTTAATGAGAATGCATCAACTTGGACGTGTCTTTTGTGTTTCAGTTTAACTTCATGAGCAGCCAGTTTCTGGGTATTTTCTTTGGGCTGTTCTTCCACCTGAAGCTCCAGCCACCTGACACGTCCCCTACACTCCGGCATATCTACTGTCTTGTCGTGGGGCTCACTACAGTCTGGTTCTGTAACGGATGGTAAGTTTCCTGTCTTGTCGTGGGGCTCACTACAGTCTGGTTCTGTAACGGATGGTAAGTTTCACTTCTTGTCTGGTTCTGTAACGGATGGTAAGTTTCACGTCTTGTCTGGTTCTGTAATGGATGGTAAGTTTCCTGTCTTGTCTGGTTCTGTAACGGATGGTAAGTTTCCTGTCTTGTCTGGTTCTGTAACGGATGGTAAGTTTCCTGTCTTGTCGTGGGGGTCACTACAGCCTGGTTCTGTAACGGATGGTAAGTTTCCTGTCTTGTCTGGTTCTGTAACGGATGGTAAGTTTCCTGTCTTGTCGTGGGGCTCACTACAGTCTGGTTCTGTAACGGAAGGTAAGTTTCCCCGTCTTGTCTGGTTCTGTAACGGATGGTAAGTTTCCTGTCTTGTCTGGTTCTGTAATGGATGGTAAGTTTACTGTGTAGTCTGGTTCTGTAATCAGGGATTGATTTAGGCTTCGATTCCGCAATATTCTCGCATAGTTGTTGATATCGCATCAACATTCAATCAGCGCGATTGAACTATATTTCAATAGTTTTATCTGCATTAACACTCTCATTTTCACCTACAAAAATATAAAATGTTGTATTGCTTGAATACATTTATCTACAGTACCAAAAAATTTCAATAATAAACTTACACGCAAGTTTATTCAATCGTCAAAAGTTGTCAATCGAAACAGCGATTCGCATACTAGCAACATTGCATGCTATCTCTTACTGTACATAACTGATTCCTATATCACTGCATGGAGCTTTGCGTCAGCTGACAGTGGTGGAGTGCCCAACATTTTTTTTATCCCTGATTGGCATAACGAGTGTTTGTTTTTACAAACTAAACACTTTGGTGGCCTACAAAAATCTTATTCCGTGATCTACAACTCCAAGTCATTAATCATATTTTTTTAAGATTTAATTCTTTGCAGAAATGAAAGATGTTGATCTACATGTATGTACCACCGTGCAGAAATCAAGAGAAAAAGGCAAACATGGGTAAAAATGAACAAAATGACAAATTACAATTTTTGAATGACAGCAAATCAAAAAGTAAATGAAAATACGTACAACTCTTTCTCCATAAAAATCTACAAATTTCAGATTAGAAACGATCATATTTTGGATGAGATTCGCCTAGCCGGTGATTGCAAAGATGGAAGAGTTTTCATGAACGTACCCTCGTGTAAGAATGGCCACCATGTATGATTTACAATTTTTTAAAACTATTTCTAGTGGCCAAACAGCAAGTTGGATTTTGATTTTTTAGAATATGCTAGGATACGTTTGCTTCCAAATTTGTCCATAAACATTGAAAACTGTGACTTAATCATTCAGATGTAACTCTTAAACATTGTGAATGTCAACAGTCTTTTCAACTTCTGGTTACTCGTAAACATTTTCTGGCTGCTGCACATTGCAAACACGCTGCCTTCTGTGTGTAATAAATGACTTAATTGTTGCTAATTAAACAAGAGGGTGGACCTGGAGCAATAGTCATTGGAAAATGAACTGTCACTTCTAATTAATTGAAAAGTCCATATTGATAAGATTTCGTTTGATACGGTCAGAGACCTGGCCTCTGATTTGGAACACACTTCAGACTGAAATAAGATGGCGAAATTGCTGAAAGCACTGGAATGTAAATATTATATTTTTTGCCTACAAACTGTAATACCATTTACAGCAGTTGCTATTTCATGTCATCATTCTAAATATATTGAATTACGATCTAAACAAACATTGTTGAAATTTGATAACTGCAGATTGTTGTCTCCTGCATGCCAACGACATGAACAGCCAATGGTGGTAAACATGCCTCCTAAACGATCTATAATTGTCCTCGCGAATAATTCCCCATCAAGTCGACAATGAACAGAAATACATAAGTATTAGTGTTATTTCTCCTAAAGTAGACAATGAACAGAAATATAAGTCGAATGTAATTTATTGTTAATATGTTAATACTAATGCTAATATTTTTAAATACATGTATTCGCAGTGGAATAATTAATGTTTGGAAAAAGGATATCCGAGGATATACCTATATAGACTGGTAATATTACTTGCAACATTATTTGAGTCACAAGTATCAAAAATCAAATTCAGTTTCCCCACTGTGTGAAACTGAAATATCTCTGAAAATTAGGAAAATCTAAATACACGCCAAAAAATCGCATTGCTTTTGGACCTGGGGAGATTTTCTCTCATAGGTAAAAATTTTCAGGATAATCCCTGTGTAATGGATGGTAAGTTTCCCGTCTTGTCTGGTCCTGTAATGGATGGTAAGTTTACTGTCTTGTCTGGTCCTGTAATGGATGGTAAGTTTCCTGTCTTGTCTGGTTCTGTAATGGATGGTAAGTTTCCAGTCTTGTCTGGTCCTGTAATGGATGGCAAGTTTCCGGTCTTGTCTGGTCCTGTAATGGATGGCAAGTTTCCTGTCTTGTCGTGGGGCTCACTACAGTCTGGTTCTGTAATGGATGGTAAGTTTCCTGTCTTGTCTGGTTATGTAATGGATGGCAAGTTTCCTGTCTTGTCTGGTCCTGTAATGGATGGTAAGTTTACTGTCTTGTCTGGTCCTGTAATGGATGGTAAGTTTACTGTCTTGTCTAGTTCTGTAATGGATGGTAAGTTTACTGTCTTGTCTGGTTCTGTAATGGATGGCAAGTTTACTGTCTTGTCTGGTCCTGTAATGGATGGTAAGTTTCCTGTCTTGTCTGGTTATGTAATGGATGGTAAGTTTACTGTCTTGTCTGGTTCTGTAATGGATGGTAAGTTTTCTGTCTTGTCTGGTCCTGTAATGGATGGTAAGTTTACTGTCTTGTCTGGTCCTGTAATGGATGGTAAGTTTACTGTCTTGTCTGGTTCTGTAATGGATGGTAATTTACTGTCTTGTCTGGTCCTGTAATGGATGGTAAGTTTACTGTCTTGTCTGGTCCTGTAATGGATGGTAAGTTTACTGTCTTGTCTGGTTCTGTAATGGATGGTAAGTTTACTGTCTTGTCTGGTCCTGTAATGGATGGTAAGTTTACTGTCTTGTCTGGTTCTGTAATGGATGGTAAGTTTCCTGTCTTGTCTGGTCCTGTAATGGATGGTAAGTTTACTGTCTTGTCTGGTCCTGTAATGGATGGTAAGTTTCCTGTCTTGTCTGGTCCTGTAATGGATGGTAAGTTTCCTGTCTTGTCTGGTTCTGTAATGGATGGTAAGTTTCCTGTCTTGTCTGGTTCTGTAATGGATTGTAAGTTTACTGTCTTGTCTGGTCCTGTAATGGATGGTAAGTTTCCTGTCTTGTCTGGTCCTGTAATGGATGGTAAGTTTCCTGCCTTGTCTGGTCCTGTAATGGATGGTAAGTTTACTGTCTTGTCTGGTTCTGTAATGGATGGTAAGTTTCCCGTCTTGTCTGGTCCTGTAATGGATGGTAAGTTTCCTGTCTTGTCTGGTCCTGTAATGGATGGTAAGTTTACTGTCTTGTCTGGTTCTGTAATGGATGGTAAGTTTACTGTCTTGTCTGGTCCTGTAATGGATGGCAAGTTTCCTGTCTTGTCGTGGGGCTCACTACAGTCTGGTTCTGTAATGGATGGTAAGTTTCCTCTCTTGTCTGGTTCTGTAATGGATGGCAATTTATCTGTCTTGTCGTGGGGCTCACTACAGTCTGGTTCTGTAATGGATGGTAAGTTTCCTGTCTTGTCTGGTTATGTAATGGATGGCAAGTTTCCTGTCTTGTCTGGTCCTGTAATGGATGGTAAGTTTACTGTCTTGTCTGGTTCTGTAATGGATGGTAAGTTTACTGTCTTGTCTGGTCCTGTAATGGATGGTAAGTTTCCTGTCTTGTCTGGTCCTGTAATGGATGGTAAGTTTCCTGTCTTGTCTGGTCCTGTAATGGATGGTAAGTTTCCTGTCTTGTCTGGTTCTGTAATGGATGGTAAGTTTCCCGTCTTGTCTGGTCCTGTAATGGATGGTAAGTTTCCTGTCTTGTCTGGTCCTGTAATGGATGGTAAGTTTACTGTCTTGTCTGGTTCTGTAATGGATGGTAAGTTTACTGTCTTGTCTGGTCCTGTAATGGATGGTAAGTTTCCTCTCTTGTCTGGTCCTGTAATGGATGGTAAGTTTTCCGTCTTGTCTGGTCCTGTAATGGATGGTAAGTTTACTGTCTTGTCTGGTTCTGTAATGGATGGTAAGTTTACTGTCTTGTCTGGTTCTGTAATGGATGGTAAGTTTACTGTCTTGTCTGGTCCTGTAATGGATGGCAAGTTTCCTGTCTTGTCGTGGGGCTCACTACAGTCTGGTTCTGTAATGGATGGTAAGTTTCCTCTCTTGTCTGGTTCTGTAATGGATGGTAAGTTTACTGTCTTGCCTGGTCCTGTAATGGATGGCAAGTTTCCTGTCTTGTCTGGTCCTGTAATGGATGGTAAGTTTACTGTCTTGTCTGGTTCTGTAATGGATGGCAAGTTTCCTGTCTTGTCTGGTCCTGTAATGGATGGTAAGTTTCCTGTGTAGTCTGGTTCTGTAATGGATGGCAAGTTTCCTGTCTTTTCTGGTCCTGTAATGGATGGCAAGTTTCCTGTCTTGCTGGTCCTGTAATGGATGGTAAGTTTCCGGTCTTGTCTGGTTCTGTAATAGATGGTAAGTTTATCAGAAAGAAAAAAAGTTCCTTTTGAAATATCTCACCAGCTAATGACTACCTGATTTAATGTCCAGCATGTCCACTGTCGGAGACACAGAAAGGTGAGGGTGGAAGTTGGGTGGCATTGGGGTGGCGTTAGGGTGCTCAGACTCTTTTCCTGTCAAGCATGTTGCATGTTTTTGTTCATCTTGAGACTTAGGTATTGTGTGCAACCTATCTATGCAAAATCCTGGCTCTGCCTCTGGTGTATGAGACTTGGAGAAATTGTATAAGAGAGTTTATCATGTTTCTCGTGTTTATCAATATTGCCACTTTACCTGATAAATTTATTTTTGTCACTGTTTTATTAGTGCTATAGTTTTTGTGTCAAAACTGA